CACATAAGATATCACGATCCCACACTGAACCTAACACTTACCCTAAACCTAACTCTAACCCTAACCCTTACCGTAACCCTTACCCTAACCTCTTACCCTAACCATAATCCTAACCCCTTACCCTAACCCTAATCGTGCTCAAATCGAGCTCGGATCGAGCTCGAATCGCTGTCGACAAACCTGGAAATATGGAGTTTTGTTCCGCCACTACCAAGAAAACTCCTGCCTGTCTTTCTATTCGTCCCTTACCTGAGTGATCCAGTTAGCTATTTACTGAGACTGAATTTTGGCCAACTAAGCTGTAAATCAAATTAATTAGGCAATATGTGGTGTTTGCAGAACTGCAGTATTAGTCTATATTTTGAATTACCGGTGCGTACATTTATCCTGACATGTTCCCGTGGTCAGCATTTGGGAAACTCTTCTAACCGCAAATACAAGTGTAAAAAACGCCCCTAGGTAATGGGTGAGCATCAGGACGGTCAGTTGTTCCATCTGACCTCTGGGCTATCAAGAGCCAACAACAGTGCTTCACACGTGTTAAATGTGACCTTAGTTCTGCTTGTGCTACATCACTGGCACCATAATTTGTCTTCATTCAGGCATAATGTTCTTTCTTTGTATAATAAACTCACTTTTGCTATGAGCAAAATGTCTCCCTGTTGTAATTCAGAATACCTAGGATCAGGGAGTCGAACGCGTTGCTTTTTCGTCAAATAGTTAGTCTACACATACTTCAAGTTTGTTTTCAATTTCATCACGGATTGTATGGATTAAGGTAACTGGCCGCAAGTATGATATGAGGCCCAGAGGAGAAATAACTTTGTTGGAAAGACACTCGAACGAGTGCCTTTCCACCCTCCGTGACTATTCGACATTGCCTCCAGTACTCAACTCTCATGCGGGGATCTGTGCAGCTATCGCAACCTGGCAGCCGATTGTACTAACAAGGTTAATTAATTGAGTTTAAGCTCTGCCTTCCGCCTCACCATATCTATCTGGATGTAGTTTAGCTTGCGGAGTAGGCTGAAGCTGACTGTCTCTATACAGCTCTAGAAGATGTCTGTACTCAGTCAATCACTGCACCCACTTTCATTTCCAAACATTTTAGCCTAATGCTTCTTGTGGACCAAACTGAACCCAGAAAATGAGGTCAATGTGATGCTTGGCATGGGAATTAAACTGCCACGCTCCAGTTATCTCCATCACCCACTCACGCCCTTACACCAGTCTCGTAACCCCTACTAAGTAATACAGAGAAGGTGGCATATATTTTGCGCAGACGGTTTAAGCCCATTTGGACCGTCTTTGTACTGCATCGATCACGAGTTATAGTAGAGTGAAGCACCCAATGCTTAAAGAACCAAGAACTGACGTCATTCACAGTCTCTGATGATGGATCCGCGACTGATTTCAAAACGCCAGGCGAATAAACTTCATGTCCCAGCGGTCACATCCGCTTCTACTATTCACGCACATTACCTGCCTTCTCCAGCGTTCACACACGCCTTGCATGTGGCCATCGCTTCAACTGGGACGGTGCTGAAGGGATTGACATAATGCAAAACAAGCGCGAGAATTCCTCCAGGTTTGATACATAGGGGTAAGAATGGCTTATATACTCACCAGCACGCCAAAGCAAGGCCGCTCGTAATGCAGATGACATTCCGCCGAATTCTTGGAACATTAGTGTTTGGGGTAGGGTTCACATTAGGGTTACGGCTAACGTTTAGACTAGGGTTAGAGCAGGGGGATATTCAACCTTTATGGGATTTAGCGCAAGACCATGTGAATGCTCGCTAAAAGGGTCCACGTACACGGTTCACTGAATTGCATCCACCCGCTAACAGCCGCTGATGTATACTTAGCTATGGGGAATTTTATTGGTTTGTCATCCCCCCCCGACACGGCAAGCCACCACTGAGGCTCTTTATATCCCATAAGCTACGGCATTCACCATACCACGATGCCCTGCCATGGTTGTCTGTCTGTTGATGTAATGTTTATGCACCCAAACGGACTAATGCGACAATCCCTCCAATTATCTATTTCGTCTAACGGTAAGTTGATATTGGGAGCCTTTCTGAAGAGTCTTCTATTTTAAGTTTTCAGTTTCGCCAACGCTTATTTTTACAACTACAGCACTTCAGGAACTTCAGGACGTAATATAACCTTATCAGAGCATGATTGCCTATTGCGGTTGTAGCGACTATTTATGGAAAGCTTATTGTCTAAATGGCCTTCAATGACGGCAACCTATGCTGTTGAGAAGAAGAAGACTCGATCGCTGGGACAATATGTTTATTCGCCT